CATCCGTGCAAGCTTACTGAGGTTTCCTCTCACCAGAGTTACGAGATCGTTGAGCTGATGGTTAAAAGCAATAACTTTATGACTAGTGAATACTAGTAATCGCCTGTAATTCTTTTTTCATATGAGTCTGTTGAACAAACCCAGTCGTTGAGGCCTTTTTTTCTTATTGATTTGTCTTCAATACACCTTTTAAAAAATTCTGCTGAGCATTTGGCTAAAGCGTGGCTATAGGATGCCTGAGATTAATCATGCTCGGTGTAGTCAGCACCACATACGGAACTTTTCTTAATAAAAAGATGATAAGACAAAAAATTAATTTTTTGGATACTTACTTGAGCCATTAATGCCTTATAGAGCTCGTCTATCCTGTTCTCTATCAATGCTTCTGATACCTCTTTGGTCCAGTGAGTCTGAGCTCCAGCGATAACTACCTGCCCTGGCCACTGTAACACCCACTCGGTGCGAGGAGTCTGTCATACAACACAAACCAAGAGTCACACGCAGTAATAACACTGTAACGCTTTGCTCGAGAATTCTGCCACACAGCACAAAATATTGTCACAACTTATCCAAAACTGATGCAAACTAAGGCCGTAATCTGATGCAAACTGAGGCGTAATCGACCGATTCCCTTCCATAAATACGAACGTTAAATACGAATATTACAACGACTCAATCGTCCGGCCGGCTGCATGCATAATACTAAATGACAGTTACCTCTGGATACACTGTTAAGGCTCTGTGTAAAATCTCTCGCAAACTCCCTCTCATAGTGTTCTCCACTTCCAGCAGCCAATCCTCCACATTTCCTGTCGGGTACAGACTGTTGCTGAATGGAACACGTTCTCCCTCGCCGGAGAACATGGAAGAAATGCGCAAGTCTTCCTCGAATGAAAGCTACAAAGCACAGGACATAAGAATTTCCTGATTTAGTCTAAGAGTTTGCTATTCTATGGTTGTACAGTTGAATGGAAAATATGCTTTGAACTTAACATTTTGTAAAAGCTGAACGGGAAGGTAAGTCAGTTTCAAGCTCAACAAATTAAGTTTACTTCAAGTGCATGCCACGTGTGATACACAGCAGAAATCACAGAACGTTTACATTACTTTTCCTTACACTTATTAACTTGGTAATGAAGGAAGGAACTCCTAAAACAAGCAGTAATAATCGTAGTATGACCCACCTTGGCAATATTCTCGAAGCACTTGCGCAGATGAGGTTGAACAGCAGTAGGATCTTTCGTCTGAGACAAAATTTCGAGAAGTTCGTCATCGGATAGGAAGTAGAATCTGGGAAAAGCTGAACGTTTTGTCTCCAGGTATTCACTGAGTCCTTTTTGAACCTAAAGTTAAAATGATATGTTAATTTAATGAACGGCTAAAGAGTTCTGTACTAGACTTTGCTTTTGCAAGCAGGAACGTTGAATACACGAAGATTTCCCTTTCTTACCTGTTCTAACAGCTTGTTGCATTCACGAAGACTCTCCAGAAGTCTGGCATCTGGGCACAGAGAGATAACCTGAAATCACACCAGGAAGTAGTTTCAATTAGCGCTGCGTTGTTTTGATTATTTTCCTGACGAACGCAATTCGAACTGGATGTTTATAGATTGAAACACTTAAACACTTGACTAAAACTGTTATTTCTCTGACCTGTGGATTTCCCTTAGCACTGTTCATCACTTTCCTCCATATCCTCTCCATGGTCTGATACCTCTTGCTTTCAACTGGCAACTGTCGGTTGATGTCCTCTGAACTGAAGATGGGCTCCAGATACAGCCACTGGCGCTGACACTGTAACCACTCGTCCATAACATCCTGTGTCATCACCAGCTTGCTCTCCCAGGTGGTGATTCGCTCCTCGAAAGGCTTCTTGTACGGTGAAAACGACATACTCTGAGCCATCACAATGTGGTCGTCCAATAGCTGAGAGCAGTCGTCGCTGACTTTCATGATAAACGTGCCTGTTTCCTTATAAGGCATGACCTCCAGCATGACTGGCTTCCATTCGGACTCCATCTTGTCGAGCGCCTAATTAGAAAAACGGTTCAATGTCAAGGTTAACAGATAGTATTTTGTAGCTGAATCACAAATCATAACAACGTTCTCTATTTCTTTTTTAACATTAAAATGATGTATAATGAACGATACTAGTCTTAAAACCGATATTGAGATATGTATGAACTTTAAAAAGTTAGAACTGTCATATGTTTACCTGTTCAATGGAGTATTCTTTACCAGCGATCTCAGCTACTTTAGCAATAACCTCAATGTGATCTTGTAGCTTCATCTCTAGACACTTTGTAAACGTCAGCTGTGCATTTGCCACGATTGGAAAACCAAGCTCTTTGGATAACTGAGTAATAAAGACAGTAATTATTACAACTAGATCATGAGCTTTCGTATCAGACAGAAATATGTCTGTAATTTAATTCTCTACATCAGAAAAAAGGGATAATGGAAAAATATTCATCAAATTTGAACACTCGTTTTAAATGAACTTTTCATCGTTGTTACAAAAAACGGTAAATGAAACGCATAATAATAAGTCGTCAAAAGTGATCCGTAAAATGAGTCTCTGTGTTGACGACGGAGAAAGTATCGATCGCAGTTACTTTTGTTACAAGCAACATTTTCTCCTAATTACGGACGCGAAATGGGTTCATCAAAACATGTTTTAAAATGTTTAATCATAGAATAGAGTATAAGAGTGTTGACATCATCAGGTGGAAAGACTGGCTATAAAATGCTTTATTCGTATCACTAACAAGAGTAGAGCCGAGTTCCTTGGACAACTGTGAATAGAAAAGATAATAACTGAACTGGTTATGTGATATCATACACTATCAGACCCATTGCTTGTAGCAATAGTGTCCCACAGTGTTGGAGACAGGAAGAATTATCGCAAAATTGTTCTGCTCCATTGAAATCCCACCTCTAAAACTAAACGAACAGTTTTAGTAACTGCGAAATTTCCCCGTTATCAAAACGCAGATTGAACCAAACACAAAACACGTCTGCAGTAAAGCATGTGCTGCGAAATTCTGTGGCAAATCATAATGTAGGAAAGAGTATTATATAAGTTTATAAGAAGTGGCGATTTAACGACTACTTTTCTTTTTTTTTTTTTTTCCAGTTTTCGTGCTGCAAATGAACTACTTCCAGCATAAGAGGGTGAGCCTCTCTTCGCGTGAGAATGGCGGACATTTAGGTAGAAATGTTACATTCATCTCACCTGTTCCCAATGCCTGCTTCGCATTCCAGGATTTCTTAAGCCTTGGATGAGTGGAATGTACGGCTTAAAGTTCTCAATCTTTTCCTTTACCTCCATGGCAACTTCTTGGCAAGCAGGGATCTCTTTGAAATGTTTGACGCACTTGAAGATCGTCTTGAACGCATTACTCACATTCTGTTCCAGTTGTTCGGCGTCGATTGTTGTAAGTGGATCGTTCATCCAGCTGTCGTACCATTTCTGCCAGTCGGAAGCTGTAAGCCACATATTTTTAAAAGGCTCGAAGTCTTTGATCAAACGGCCAAGCTTATCGTACTGTTGAGAGTTACATAGATGTGCAAGTTAGTAGCACGTACAGGCGACGATTCGTGCGCGTGTGGAGGGTTTGTAAGAGTTTTAAGCTTTCAAAACCTATTCCCCTCTTTCCCAAGAGGAACATAATCTGACAGTGTTTCAGTTTAGTGACTGTGCATGTTATGGAACCGCATAACACCCAACTACCAGTCGCATGAGTGGTTATTATCTTAGTCAGGTTCCAAACTGTTGACTGTGGCCAACGGCTACAGTACGTGTATATTAATTTTATTGAATCAGGAAAGAAAGATACTTCACAATTTTCAAGCGTTAAGACAAGGGTAAATACGAGTCTCAGTGAATACTCAAACCTTAGCTATTCAGTCAGGTTTATCAGTCTGATAAATGTTCTAAAACTGAAGTAAAAAACAACCCTTTAACGAGCTGGGCTGAAGTCCATATGTGGCAAGCGTCCTTCTTAACACTATAATCAGCAGTATCAAAGCATCTTGTGCGAAAAAGGAGTAAGACATGAGGTAAAATATGCCATTTTCCTCACAATGTCTCCCCACAGGAAACTTTAATATAAATGTGAAGAATTTTCACAAGGAGAAGATATAATAAAAATATTGGTAATATTGAGTTATGAAATTAGTATAGAACTTTAAACTCTAAATCTAGAACTCTGATCAGTGGTAGTCGCAGTAATAAAATGCATTATTGAGGAAGATAAGAGCGAGTAGAAAAGTATACTAGGAAGACGCTTGTGAGAATAATACAAGACTGAAGAAGGAAGGGGGTCGAGCAATGTGGCGATCGGAGTACTAAGCACTCGCTCTCTAAGAAAATGCACCTGCTATGCAGTGTAACACGTTGTTTGAAAAAAATGATCTTTTCGCGGAATGTGGAAAGTTAATTGGTATTTGCATTTATGTTCACACATGGCGTCGTAATTCGCGTACGTGTACTCATTGGTCACGTGATATCTAGCTGCCTGGAAACTTTGTTGTGTGAAGCACTGAAAACAAACAAACAAGCGAACCGTGACTTACAGATGTGACAGGAAGCCCAAACAGCCTCTCTCTGTTGTTGTAGGTGGTGGCAAGCGTCTGGCATTCTTTGAGCTGTTTAGTCAGACGTCGCACCTCATTCGCCACCTCATGTGATTTACTGAGATCCGTGTGAGCAGCAAATCCTGCTACAGCCATATTCAGCGAATCCAGTCTGTCTTGGAAGGTGTTCTGATCTGCTAGCAGATTCTTCTGGAATCTCTCCTCGTCTGCTTCAAGGTTTGCTTCGGTCGCCTCCATCTGCAGCTGGATTTTATGAGGCCAACCGATACAAGTCCACCTGAAAGAAAACAGCAATTAAATAAGGCCGTTCTTACTGCTGCTCAAAGAGAATATTACATACAATTAAAAGAACTCCTCAGGCCCGCGAGGTGAGAGTAACTCGAGAGTCTTTGAGAGGGAGCTTATTCATCCCGACTTTCACGAGTGCAGGTGGGTACATTCAAGAGCAAATCTTCTCATAGAGGAAAGAGCAATGGAAGATACGCGTAAGGGTAAAGATGTATGGGCGCTCTTTAGTTCAGCTTAAGAATACTTACTTGGCATTAAAATCCTCCGCTGAGATATTGTAATTAAATTCCTCAATCAGTTCGTAGTCGATCATGGCCTTATCGATCAGTTCCTGATTCTTCTTCAGCTGTTCTGGGATCTGCTTCATATACTCTCTTTGTTCTGCTAGTTCTTCAATGCTGTTTGGTTTGTCGTACAACTGTCGTGCAATAGTCTTGAACTCCTCACAGACCTGGACAACAAAATTGACTCACTGGATTATTTGTTTGTTGGCTTGATAGCAGGTTAAGTAAGGTTCTTAATGAACAGGTGAAAAGTGCTAGCACGATCGTCGATAAAGGTCTACACCCAATAGACGAAAAAATCGCCGTTAGTACTTGTACATGTGATATACAATCCTAGGTGACCAAATTGAGCGTGTAAATTTAAACTTGGCCAACTCAAGGTAAAGGGGACACCTTTGCCCTTCTATGCTGAGAACCAAATCCCCGAATAATCGCTTTGATTCTTTGGCTTAAATTATTACATAACATACACAACAACCAGAATCATAAAATGTAAACAAAATGGGTATCTAAGTGTTCGTACGTAACGGTATGCTAGTTGCCGAAGACTTCGGTTTGTATTGCAACGGCATAAAGCTAACGAATCGTTTTTGAAACTTCAATCATTTTATAATCATTCCATAAAACATCAAACATTAACTTAAAACGAGACTAATTATGTAATGAGCTCGGCTTCTTGAGGTAATTTTATGAGTGGGCGAGCTGGTTCGTGGGCGACTTGATCGGATACCTTTCATCGACAGACAGTAAAGACGCCGAAGGTTATGTGATTTTGTTGGTAAAATAGCGTGAGTTTGTTTCAGTCGACGGTTATGGTGTCTTTAAGTACATCTTGTCTTACATCTGCTGTTTGTTCTTATAATTTATTTAAAAGAAAAAACAAGTTAACATCGGCTCTTTGACGAAAAGGTAGGTAATAACCAAAAAAGAATTGCCCAGACTGAAAAGTGACAAGTGAATGTAACCCACCATATCTGCTTGTTTACGAAGTTTCTTGGCCAACAGTTCAATAACAGCATTAGCCAGAGCTTTTCGTTTCTTTGCAAGCGCCTGTCTGACTCCTTCCGTAGAGATCCAGTAAGGACCAATCACGATGCTCGATGGCAGAGAGTTCTCCAAAGTCTCTTTATCTTTGAGATGTCGTTCAATCTCTTGTTTCACTTCTGATGCAGATCGTTCTTGTGAATCGTATTCCCTGCAAAAATTTGAGTGTAACAAAGTCAGCAAAGCTCAGAGAGTAGCCTTTCCGTTGAAAAACTTGTCTGTACGTTTTAGTGGCCCTCGTTTTCGTACATGTAGGCCATTACAAAAGAAATGGTCTGAACAGGGAGCAACCAACAAAGATCATCAAAATGTTTCTGTAAGAGTCATAGCCAATCTACCCACGAAATGTTTTCATCTTTCATTTTTTTATCCCGAACTACCATTATTCAGACAATCACACTACACAATCAACCGGAGACCAATACACAGATACATGTACATCTCCGGTAAGTAATATAAAATTTTAACTTTATACAACAACTGAAACTTGCACATGTATATATTTTTTTTCAATCAAAGCTTGAGTGAGCACCACTTTAAGAGTTGAACATCTACATGTACAACCATTGGTTGCCGCACTGCCGAGGCTCTATAATTGATTAGGGTGTTTATTGTACATTCTATATCATACACTTGAACTAGTCCCAGGGCACAAGTTCTGGTTTCGCTCAGTCATACTGAAATGTACCGTTAACATGTAATTTATAGAGACCAAGCCAGAAGCACATAACCGAAAAACGTGCGAAGGTTTTGCGTGTGCGTTGGCCATCTGCTTTTGGACCAAGCATAACTCATATTTTCCTATAATATGGGAAAAGTTACCCACTTTAGAAACCTGTAAATGAAGCTACAAAGTTGTACATGTAGCCTGAAGAACGAGCGGATTAGCGGGGCTGAAGCGTGATACACGAACGTGCGCAAAGCGCGAGACAAAAAACTTCTTTACCTCGCGCTTCGAGTGCGCATTCATGTATCGCGCTTCGGCCCCGCTAATCCGCCGGTTCTGCAGGCTACTGTTCATGTATCTGCATCTCCCATGTGCTGTATCCTGCAGTTTAAAACAAAGCTACTCACTCAAGATATTGATTTATATCCATATTGTACAGCTCCAAGTACTGTTCATATTGCTTGGCATAAGCTCTCAGTGGAATAAGTGACTTTTTGATCGCCTGTCGTACAGTTTCTCTTAGTTTCACCACCTCTGGTTCATTCTCACCAACAGACTCAAGCAGAGGTGTTCCACTCCAGAATAAGCCTTCAATCACCATCTTCTCCAGTTGTGGGACATTCTTTGTACATGTGATGCCCTTGTCGAACAGTGCAATCACCACACGGCCAAAGCTCTCCAGATCAGTGTTGTACTGAACTCCTGTCTTCTCCATTGTTAGGTCCAGCATGAACAAGGCATTCTTTTTAGGTCTGATTGTTATTTGAAGAAGGATCATTAGTTTTCCTTGATTAGAGTTTCAGCTCCTTGACATTATGAAGTACCATTACATGCTTCATTCCTACTTTTATTGAGAAAACTCAGTGCCTCTGCTCACCCAAAAAACAATATATCAGACAATTATACAAAAACAAGTACACATAGTAGATCTTTTCAAAAGTGCCACCATGTTACACAACATGGAACTTCCATGAGAATTATTGAAAGGAACATTTACAATTATCATCACTTTATCACAACAGAAACATAAAAAGTTCACTCCTGTAAGTTTCAATCTACTTCTGACTTGTTACTTTTTCAAAAAACAATTATCTTCATCAAAATCTTACACTTGAAACTTTCTTCAAAAAGCCATACATGTAGTTAAGACTTGTGTATAAACATGCGCAATTATTGACATCAAATGACATGAGTACTTACTTGTAATTACTGTTTATGATATCTTCACCCCAATCAAAGTCTTCCCCTAGGTCCATTACACTGTAGGTGGCATCCAGGATCATCTGAGTAAAAGCTGCCAAGGAATCCTGTACTAAGTAACGCAGTGAATCCTAGTAGAAAAAAATCACATAGATTGCCATAAGGAGACTGGAATATTGCCAAACATGAGGGAGAGACTACCTGTACACTGTTTGTAGTTTTTTCTAGACTGCACATGGAGAAGGATGCACTCCAAGACAAGTACAACAAAAACTTGCAAGGAGGATTAAGGCAGGGTACACCAAGTAATTTTAGTTGCCCACAGTGCAAGAGTCAGAAGTTGATAAACTGTTATAATTTTAACTACAGTCTTTTCAGTTTCTCCAATCTACATGTATCACATTTCCAAGTCAGAAGACACGTCTTAAACTTTATCAGTATTCATTTATGTATTCAAAGAGGATGCAAAATTTGTTCACTGCACCTGCATGGCAAATTTCACCAGCTGCATAAATTTGGCCAACTTAGAGATTTGGTAAACCTCCCAGTTTCTTTCCTCCATGTTAAACCATCCCTTTCCCACATCCAAAAGGCTGCTGCGGATAGCTGTTCTGAGGGTGTTTAACCAGCTATCCCGCAAAAATATTTGTACCTGAAATTTAATAAACAATGGTGGCAAAAAAATGCATGATCAGTTAAAACCATAGATAATATCTAATTGTCTCAAATTTAGGCATTAACAAAAGCTTATATACAGTAAATTCAAATTGGAAATCATTGATTTAAATATTGATTACCTTATGGGTTTTCAAATAATTTGTGAAACATTTTGTGAAATAGATCTTAGCTACTGTAGGGCATGTTTACCTACTACAAGCTTAGCTGTACTTGTACAATTTGTAGTAAATAGTAGTATTGCTAGTGCTGTTCACATATTTTGGTTAACTCTCTGCACCATCTGTAAATACATCCAATTGCTTGATCACACAAGTTAAACACAAAGAGACTTCTTTACCTGTGTGCTGACTTGGGCTTGTGTTTGCTCAAATTCTTCCAGTTTCATACTTTTTGACACAGGAACCTGGAACACTGACATGCTAGCAACTTTGTTGCATTCAGTTCTCACTTTAGCCATAGCCACTATGGCTTCCTCTCTGGTCAGCAAACAGTTGAAAGCAAAGTCATCAAACTTCTCATCAAAGGGATATAAAGGAACATCTGGGTGGAATCCTTGCAGCCAAAGCAAAAAACCAAATTGTAATGAGCAGAAAAAAATTCTTAATAGACTCATTAATTTACCAAGGTTGAGAATTCATGGAGTCCAATTAAAGTGGCACAAGTTGGTACATACAGTAAAATCCTTTTTACAAGACCACTCGGTCACTATGAAAACTGTAATCTCAAAACCATAATCTGATTACCAAAGACTACTGCTTTTAGTTTGGTTTTTTTTCATGCCTCAGAGTAGCTTTTTCCATGGAACACAACCACATTCCATAAATATTTAAGGTGCTCACAGTTTTCTGGCCTTAGCAGTAAAAATAAACTTTTTGTTTGAAGGCATATTAACTGAAACTCCAATTCTTAGATTCAAATGTCCTTCTCATAACAATTTAGCTTAATTCACATGTGCCAACTTTTAAGTCACCCACTCCTTCTCTACAAGAAGAGATTTATTCTGATGACACCTGTTTGGTGAGTCAAAAGAAGTCAGATGAGTGCTTTTACATCAGGTTTACGTTAATCAAGACTTTGCATGCCATTTGAATTAATGGGAAAGAAATTACTTGCAGTGTATAAAACCTGGTGGAAATGGGTTTAAAGTCTGATCTTGTTTTCCAACCTCTTCTGGCTAAAATTAAAGTTGGAGTTTCAACTTTTTTTCCTCCTCCCATCCATTTTACTTACTAAGTTAAATGCAAAATGACTTATATGAATGAATTCTACACCTTGAACATTTAAAACCTTTATAGTGTACCTCGTTCAGGAATCACCTCTTCCTCCTCTTGAGGAAGAGTTACAAAGGGATATGTTTCTGGTTTACTATTGACTATCCTGTCAAATGTGATCCTGTTCATGCTGCGAGAGAAGTCTACTTGGATTTCTTTAGACAGTAAGTGCACATGTTCATCCAAGCTGTATAAATAACAATCATTAAAAAATGCTGATTGGTTTAAATGAACAGTAACTTTTAATCTCACTAAAATGTGATCTTATTTGTGGGAGGCAAGGTGACATAATCATTAGAAACTTTGACTCTGGAATAAATGACCTTAGGTTTGATAATTGGCCAGGGGAATGTTTTATGTGTTGCTGAGAGAGACTCTTCTTTCTGACATGCCTCTTCCCAACCAGGAATTTAAATGAATCCCTATAGGCACTGGCTCAATGCTTGGGAGTACTGTGTAGAATAAGGGGGAAAGTAACTCATGATGATCACAATCTTAATTAAGAAGGTGTATGTACATGGTCTCACAGCTTTACTTAGCCTAACCAACACTGTATAAATACATAAAGATATATAGTTGTGGCTGTAACACACTAGAGAATCTTGACTTCCAGGCCAAAAGTGAGTCACTATGGGCTAATGCATTTGTATTCCCATGCAAATAAGCTGTTCAATTTTTAGTATGAAGATGGGTGGTAAACTTAAAACATGCATGTACAGTATGTAGATGTTTAGTGCTGGAACTTTCCTGCACAAAGATTGGAAAAAATTACGCTTAAAGGAAGATCAATCAAGTACCTCTTGTCGCTCTTCAGTGTTCTAGTTCCTTTAGCCCAGGTGATCATTCTTTCCAATGAACTGGGATCAAGCCTGACCACTCCATCCATAGGCATGCAATCAACATACAGATTGTACCTGAGCAAAGCCTCTGTTTCACAACGCAGGGCATATGCCTTGGCTACTCTTTCAGCAAAGTTTATTGGATCCTCAGCAGCAAACAATAGCTGTATTCGTGGAACCCAAAACTGTGCACCTTCAACTTTGGAACGTTTCCTTTTTGGTTCCTCATTGCCATGTGCTTCACCATTCACTGTACCATTTTCCATCACTCCATTTGCTGCTGGGATAACATTGTGCTGGAGGCCTCCTGTACCAACAACTTGCACCAAAAACAACTGTTTCATGTCATCATAATCTAGTGTACCAACATCTGTCCATGCATATCCTTTGCCATTTTTCCCTCTCTCTCTCAACAATAGTGATTTTCCTGGTACTGGATGTTGTTTACCATCGACTAAGCCTAGTTCCAACCACTCATTTGGGTTGCGGCAATCAAATTCTGTGTCATCAAATATGTGAAGAGGTAAGAAGGCAGGAAATGGGGCAGCATCAGGTCCTGTGAGATTAACTCTCATGTTGTAGTCTCCTTTGGGCATAAGCTCAGATGTCTTGACTCCAAGCTCTTCCAGTAGTGTGTTAATATCTTGCTTGGAAAATATGCGCTTTTGTCTGTGAAGGGATGTAAGGTACCATATCCATCATAAGGATATTTCATTTCATTTGTGTATAAATGTAATTTTATTTGTGCATAAAAGAAATTATATTCTATTCTTTAATTTATCAAAACAGGCAACAATTAGCTGGTAGTCTCCTCAATGAGAAGTATTTGCTATTTAAAAACACATGCCCTTGTTGCATATCTCTATACCTTGCATCAATCCTTTCCCATAACTCAATTTCCCCAAGGAAAAATTGGAAATTTTGTAACTTATTAAACAATGAGCAACATACAGTAAACTAGATGAATGCAAATAAAAAGAAAAGTATGTATATAAAGTCAGTCTGCATGATTGTAAAAACTACAGCCTACACCATATGACATGAAAGTAAATTAGCAAAAAAAAAGGAGGAAACTAACCTTTCAATTTCAATTTTTCTAGGAACTTGGCCTGGCTCTGCCTTGTATGGGAGTTGCACCTTGGGCTCCCAGGATTTTTCAGGAAAGTCCTGCAGAAAAAAACATAAGTGTACATGTATTGAAACATAGAGGATATAAATCCCTGGGAAAGGGTTAATCAGGACACCATTGTGGTAAGAGAGACAGGTGGATGTCCAGCGACTGCCAATCTTGAACAAAGCAATCGATACTTACAGAAACTGTAATGGGTGCTGTAGTTGGTCCATGAACTTGATCCTTTAGGAGAGAACTCAGTGCTTGAGAAGACATAGGTCCCTTGAATGTTTGAACTGAAAAGGTGATCATAGCATTCACATGTGCATGGAATGAACAATTTACCAGGTATACAGTAAAAACTTATCAGTAAGGTGACAAGAACTTAAAAATAATGGCATACCTAATGGACAAAATTGACCTGCTTCCTTAGTGGATAAAACAGTGAGATACCACTGAAGGAATGTTAAGTGTAAAGCATTACTAAAAGTTATTACCTTCTGGCATATGCTTCAATTTTGCAGTTTTCCATAATGTACTTCTGGAGGCTGCTGGACCACCAGTAATACTCTGTTTTCAAAAAGTCATCGAAATTAGGACTCCTATCCAGAACATCAAAGTATGCAGTTCATCCTAAAACATCAGTTACCGCATCTAATCTTTATTTGTTTACAAACCGTGTAATTTGAGCTCAAAGGCAAATTTGAACCCGTTCCTTGTAAAATTTAATTGTTGCTTTAATCTGTCAGTGAGTAGTTTTCCATGCATGTGAAAAGAAAAAGTGTAGCACAGAAAGGGAGGGAGCATTATGAATTGAACGCCCGTGTGCAAAATGTACATGTATGTAACTGGAATCAGAAAATCGACTTTCGTCATATTAAATACTTATTCCAAGTTTCACTAATTCTTCTCACTTTGGATGTTGCATAAACTGATCATGCATAAGTCTGCATGATCCTTCAAACTTACCCCAAGCTCTACTTTTGATCCTTCTCCTAGAATATCGGAGTAATAACCTCTTTGTCGTATCGTAGGATAACTTAATCCTCCCGAAGAAGGCGACTTCGGAGTCCCAGGCGAAGTTCGTCTGCCATTTCTGGAGCTTCCTTGCCTGTTGGCGCTCATAATGACTCAATTTGTTCAGTGACCCTCACTTTGTCCTCTAATTTTCTTCCAAGAAGAAGAAAATACTCAAAAGAGAATACAGTTGCAGATTTTGACAAATCTAATAACACTTCAGCGTACAATTAGCCGCCATATTGTTTCGTAAAACTTTTTATTGCAAGTTCCTATGACAACAAATGTTGGCGGGATGGTTCAACAACTTCGGATAACTTCGGTCCTTTTTTCCGGACTTTTCCGATAACACCAATACAAAGGCCCGGATGTACAGATTTTCAAGATGGCGGCCAGAGAGGGTTTGCGTTTAGGTCAAGCTCTTCTTCGCCGTGCGGCATTTAGACCACAAACTTTGATAGGGATTAGAAAAGGTAATTTTTTGATGACTTATCACACAATTGGTCTGATTTGGTTTATGGCTTATGCCAGAATTTCCTGAATTTTCACTTGAAATTAACACATTTGTTCATATAAATATATATGTATATACATTGCAGGCGTGTCAACAGGACATCATTTAAACTTAAAATAATGAAGCGTAGATCGGATCACCGGGAGATGATCACAAATCTATTCTTTCGGTTTTCAAACAACTTCAAGGCTCGTACGTTGTTATCTACGTGGAAAGTTTCTACGTCGTCAATATTGTTTTGTCGGATCCGGAGCAACGATCAAATATAGGATCGCTTTTATATAAAGCTGTATCACTGTTATTTCTGCTTGGTTTCTCAGCAAAGAGATTAGTGGAGATAAGCGTCGACATAAGATTTAGGAGTAGTTTACGTGAAGAGAAGTTATGGACTATGGTGAAGCTTTGGTGTTACAGTCTTGCATGTAGTTTGGAAGAAAACTTATTCTAAAAGAGCCCTGCATATCCTTTACATGAAGATTTGTAGTTTGCCAGTTCTCGTTAAATAGACCAATGTTGACAGTTTAAAACTTAGTTTTACTCAACAGAGGTCACCCTGCAGCTCTGTGGAGTAAACAAACTATAAATTTGTGAGACTTACCGCAAATGATCTTTTGCTGTTTTTAAATGTAAATATTGGTCCTTGAGATGAGATGAAATTTTTACCTCCATCTCACATAATTTACTTCATCAACTATTTTTGAAAGTTCTACCCATTATATTCATACACTTGTCAAGCAGACAACTGAGTTGACTAGATAATTACCTTAAGTCTTGGAATGCATCAAAAGCTTGAGAATTTGATTAGTTTGTTAATCATTTTCGGTGAAAAAAGAAAAGTTTCCTTCCTATTTATCTATTCATTTATGACCTACTTTCCATTGTGCAGCCAGCGATGATCACATAAAGTATCCCATCCCAACTCCGGAGAATGATTGGAAAAATTTTCATCGTCCATGGCCAGATGATGGGTATGCCCTGGGGGATTATCCTAACCTCCCAGAGATTTGCAATCAGAGAAGACAACATTTAGGATGGTGGGATGTTCAAGAACGTAGAAACTACAATGAGCCAGTGAGTGTCTTGACACTAGTACAAACGATACCATAATCATGTTGTTTTAACCTCTGTCAGTGCTATTTAACATGGTATATGTAGTTTTTGGTAGTGCTTTGTAATTTTTGTTGTAACTTAAAATTTATTCTTCAATGGTGGACACATGTAATCTTAAAATAAAATTTATACCTATATAGATGTATTCCTTGTTATATTTCTTTTTTTTCTCTTTTGTTCTAAATTGTCAATCTTCCTTTAAAATTCTTGAATGGTAGAAAGGGATGTGAAAAAAGGGGTGGGATGAATTTGAATAACAACTGTACAGATGAAGTGGTACTGCCACAATAGCTTGTGAATATATAATTATACTACAAATGAAAATCAAAAACTTATGGAAAAGATTTCTGATAATGTAAACCTTGGCTCATGTATGTAACTGTTACTCCTTTTGGATTGTTGAACTGGTTTGAACCCTAAAGTTGAGAAGATTTTTCAAGTTATTAAATGTTTCTCTTAATTTCCATAGATACATATGGATGAAGATGCACTTAATGTTTGGGTGTGGAGTGAGGTGACATGTAATGACAGATACACACCGTAAGTATAGTCTCAGTAATTTTCCAGTGCTTAAAGCTGTAAATTGACTTCCAGAACCATTGAGGGGTTTCAGGGGTTTTGAAGGGGTGTTACAGCTGTATTTGTTGCCTCATACCATTGAAATGAAGGGTTGTATTAAGGATTTTGGTACCTGGGATTATCAGTCATTTGTTTACATTGATGAAACAAATCATTTAATTTCTTGTTCCTGATAAAAATCTTCAGGGGTGAAATTCTGATGCAGTTGGGTATTGCCACAGCCACTCTTTGCTTTGTTGGATACCTCTCTTACCTCTATGATCAAACAGACAGAAACCCTGCGGTAAGAGGCTATTGTAATCACATGATTTTGGTGTGGTTTAAAATGCTTTTTAATTTTATTTAATTGCTTTTGCTCAAAGATTATACCTGGAGTTCTAAACCAAAAGATTAGATATTTGAAAGTAATCACAATCAACAAGTACAATAGGTTAGACAAGAGGTACACTCCAGAAATACTGGCAATTTTATTTTATATTTTTGCAATTAAAAATATATATTTATATATACATATCGATGAGACTGATTGGAACACTTTAGTTTATCCTGAACTAGTTTGTGGAACAAACTCTTGATCTTTTGACCCAAGAGGGTGACCAACATCTAATTTCTTCTTACTAAATCACCCTGGAAATACACACAGAGAACAAGGGAAATGGTCTCCAATTAAGAAGCTCATAAGTTTTAAAACAAATTTCCCTTGTCATTACCATAGAAAATATGTTGAGAACAGCATGGAGGGTGGAAAGGGTTAAAAGCATCACTCACTATTTTTCCCCCTTATGGAAAGGCAAAGTCTGAAATTTCACAGTCTGATATTTTTAAGATCTTAAAGCATTTTGACAGTTTGTCTGTAGTGTGTATGTTGTGGTTCAAATGTTTCCTTGGTTTACACATTTTAAAACCAGTTTAATTTTTTGTAATTTCCTTTCTTCTCAAATTATGCTGATTTATGAAAGCAATTGAAAACTCAAATTAGCTGGAAAAATTTAGAACCAAAGAAATATTTGAATCAAAACATTTACATACATAGGTGCAAGTGATTTTCTTTGAAGGATTATCTCAGATTCATCCTGTTCATGTATGTGTGTGGACAATCTTACTACAGTCACAAATTTCTCTCTATTGGCTGCAGATTACCATTGCACATGGATTTAGATGAAAGTAGTAGCCCTAACTTAAAATAGTTCTGTTTGATAATTTTGGAATATTTTATATTTCAGGTTCCAAAGGAATACCCTTTTAACAATCTGTACCTTGAGCGAGGAGGGGACCCAGATAAAGACCCAAGTGAGGAAGTCTTGCATCCAGACCAGAGAGTCATTCCACATAATCTGTATGGATCTTAATGCATTTTCACTGGTCTCTAAACAGTTCTGATCTCAAATCCATCAAAATTTAATTCATGTTATCTTCAGTGTTTTTTTCCCTTGCATTTTGTGTACAAGAGTGTGAAGAATGTGTCTTTATTGCAGATGTATATTACATTAAATTTTGATATGTTGTATGAAAAAGATTGTTCATTGGGTACTTGGTAGTTTTGTTAATGTAAATAATATATTTTAACTCTTTCATTCCCAAGATCTCGGTAGTAATTTTCCTTACTCTCTTCCATACAATTCTTTTCATGTGAGTTTGAGGAACTTGGTTTTAGACGAAAGTTTGAGGAATTTGGTTTTAGATCAACTAATAAACCCCCAATTAATATATTTCTTTATTCTCATCACTTGTCTGCTTAATGTTACATTGATATTGGAAGGAGAAATTCTGTCTTGGTCACTTATGTGAGGTAAAAAGTTAAAGGGACTGGAGGATTATGGTTTATGTCGTATGTACAACACTTTCACCCTGATAGAAAATGAAATTCAGTATTTCTGTCAAGGTATTATCCTTTGCAAATTTCAAATTCATTCAAACCGTTTGCCAGGGATTGTGAAAGAAAAATAGGTAAAAATTGGAAAGCAAAACAAACAAACAAAAAGAATATCATAAACCCTCTTCATTTCCTAAAATTTAAGGAAAATTTATATGAATGAGACCTACTTCAATTCAAGCTCTCGAGCGGCAGAATGTATTTGAAATGAAAAACTTTACTTCTCTCCAGATATCTTGCTTTAAAAAACTGTATATGAATGGATCAAATGCCGAGATGCATATGAATAGTAGCCTCTGTATCCTCACTAAATCCGTTGGAATGTGATTGTTCCAATGAAATGTCATGCAGAGGAGTCGGGCGATGTCAATCGCGTAACATATGGAAAAGATGGCCACTATGATTCCAAGAGCTTTGGAAAAGGTGCTTGCTTTACCTTGTGATCCACTGGTCTTCATATCATCGAAAGCGAAGCCGTTGAAAATCAACTGGGAGAGAAGAATTCTCTGACGTCTGTTTTGTCTGTATGTTATATATAATGTCCTTGAACAAGCTGTAACTAATAGGAGGCATGAAGGAAGTTTATACGCGAAGAGCCAGACGGCACAAAAAATGTCCTCAGCAAGGTGCAATTTCAAATAGCACACAACTGTATATGGCACAAGATGAATAGCAAATGGTATGAGCCACGCTGCTAATAGAAAGAACAAGTGTCGTCCCTTAGCCTTAAAAGTAGCATACTTCAAGGGAGTAACGATCGCCATATACCGATCAATTGTTAGTGCACAGAGATTTGTCATGGATAAATCGAGGAACAACCATCGTACTGCTTTCGCTACGCACTTTCCACAAAGAGAAGCAGAGCTACAGGCTAGAAAGGGAAAGTATATCAATCCTACACTAAGATCGGCCGCAGCGAGCGAAAATAAAAACCAGTTGATTGTGCTACGAAGGCGCTTTCTTGAAATAATGAGATACATTACCAAACCGTTTCCAAGGACGGCTAATATCGATAAAATCCCTCCAACAACCCAAAACCAAACAGGACTTGTGAGATCCATCTTATTCATACGACTTCGAAGTAATTTTATCATTCTGATGATGAATCACAATGACTTTATAGAAAAAGACTCCTTTGCGCATGCGAAAAGGAGTCTGAAATTAGGTAACATCATTTTAATGAATTGCTACTCTAAGGTAAATATTGGATTGTGCGTGCTCTGATTGGTCAAATGAGGGGCAACGTCATTTCCATTGATATCACTCTAGACAATGTGTCAAAAAAAATGAAAATGAAAGAAAATCTCGTCGTTCAGATTACCGCCTGAGTATTTATTAAATTAACTTTATTTGTTCTGCCGTGCACTGTGAATAAGGGAATAACATGACTTTTTGAGGGAATATTGTTTATTTGCGCCCGCGTAGTGTCATTTGCGAATGACACTACAAGGGCGCAAATAAACAATATTCCCGAAAAAAGTGATGTCATTATCATTATTATCAATAAACAAGGCCAAATGATATCAAGAATGCGAGTTTTAATAATACAAGCTAAGTGAATGACGAATTCAAAGTCACTTCAAATCATCATGTAAGTGTTGATTGAACAAGCTATTAAAGAATCAACTCAGTCCAGTGAACTTATTGAAAATTACCGAAAAAATGCTTAAAATCGTCTATAAATAATAGGCATATCACAAAGTTAACCTTAAAAATGTCCATGCTGGTAACAGTATTTTCCGCCTGACCTTTTGCTTCTAATTTGTCCAAATCTTCTAGCCCCAAATCTGAGTTTTGACTGCTAATTTCTTCCATTACTTCAGTTTTCGCTCGAAGACGATTCGACGACTGAAAAAACTGCAGTTCAAAACCGGAGTTTCGCAAATGAATGGTTTTCCCGCGTCAACACTAGGCTTACTCTAATTGGTTAAAATCTATCGGATGATGAAGCAAGAACCAATCAGCTGTAGGGCTGATAATGCATTAGCAGCCCGCTGTCAGTCTTTTGCGGCCCGCTGAGCGTGTGTTTTGAACAGGCCGATTTTCTATTTGGCCGCGTATATTGATAATAATGTTTGATAAATAAATGCCGGCCCTTTGGCGAAGTGAAAATCGTCGCACAATTCTCGTCGGACGAACTAGACTGCAATAGTGGATTTTTCGACAATGATCACTTCGGTTCACTAACTATTTTGAAGATGAATGACTATTCTATTCTGAAGACGGGTCAAATTTAGTGCGCTTTCAGTTTCAGTTTCGTAGATTCTAATGTTAATTTACCAGGTAGTCCTTGAGTAACAAGAGCTACCATAACAGTCATAAAGCTTAGTTATCGTTGTCATCATCACCACTTTAATACACAATTAAAAATGCAAATCTTCAAAATGACACACACAAAGAAATTGTGTTTTAAAGTACAGTTAAAGAAATGTTGTTTTATAGTACAGATGAGTTCCATTACTAAAAGCTTCATTGACGTTCATTACAATGTATTTTGGGCAATTCTTAGTGAAGTTAAGTGTTGAAAACATGTCAGTAATAATACTGCTGGGTTTTCTATAATGATTTCGAATGGAAAGCATTCAATCATGCTATTTATAAACGAAAATTTATGTTTACACTAATTTACAGGTAAATTTAGGTTTCTTAAAGCAATTTAGGACCATCAAAGAATTACGAAGTCAATAATAGTAATAGTCTTGAGAATAACATAAGTAATCTAAAGCCATCTAAACAAGAGTTTGAGCTCACATCGAATGTCGTGCTTAAGGAAACTGTAAACGAATGGATTGCTCGCGGAATTACATATGAGCAGTATCCTCTGCACATACACCAAATTCCATGGAATATGATTGATGCATTTAAATGAAAAACAGAGAAGACGAGCCATGTCAATAGCGTAACAAGTAAGAAAGATGGCGACTATGATTCCAAGAGCTTTGGAGAAAGCGGTTGCTCGACTCTGTGATCTGTCGCACTTTGAGTCATCAAAAGAAAAGCCATTGAACTTAAGCTGAGAGAGACGAATACTAAAGCGTTTCTTCTGCCTGTGTGCCACGTATAAAGTTCTAAAACAAACTGTAAACAATAGGAGATAGAGCGGAAGTTTGAAAGCGAATAATACAACCGCATAAAATATGTTAAGTGAAGTATACATCTCGGTACAGTACATCCACGTAAATGGCACAAAATGAACGACAAAAGGTAAAGTCCATGCTGCTGATATAAAAAACACGTGGCGTCTTTTAGCCTTAAGCTTTACATACTTTAGTGGAGTAACAATCGCCATGTACCGATCAACTGTTAGCGCACAGAGGTTAGTCATGGATAAATTGAGGAACAACCATCGTACCGCCATTGTTACACACTTGCTACAAACGGACGCAGACTCACAAGCCATACTTGGAAGGAAAGTTAATCCTACACTAAGATCAGCTGCAGCAAGAGAAAATAAGAACCAATTGATTGTGCTACGAAGCCGCTTCCTTGAAATAATGAGATACATCACCAAACTGTTTCCAAGGACAGTTAATATCGAGAAAAATCCGCCAAAAACCCAAAACAAAACGTCTCCAACAGACTCCATGATACTTTTAGTAAGATTTCTAAAATGATAACTTCAGTGTAATGCTTGGTCTGAAATGGTGGCTCTACATAGAAGTACCAAGAGGGAATTCGGTGACGTGCCTCTAATGACATTAATGGCGCGTCCGGCTATAATCACATTGTTTTTAATCAAGCGTCATTTTTTTTATCTCCATGCATATGGCACATTTCTAAGAAATTCATATTCCCCCACTAGAAGACCAAGCACTTAGCTGTTGGAAATTTCCGTGATAAATGACAAAATAGAGATAGACAAGTCCAAATATTGATCATCCAAAACTTTGGGAAGTAATGATCAATAGAATCAGCCAGTTGCTTCACTGGAAATGCTTGAAAGAAACATAACTCTTCATGTTTGATTTGTTGATGGGTAAAGAACAGCAGTGGTTTTTTTTTTTCAGGAAAAAAGCCTTTAAATTTCTTTCTTCTTACACTGAAATAACTTTCCCTTCTTATCGCTTCGCATAAATAATTAATTCATGAATCCACTACGTGCAAAAAGTGGAAGAAGATCCTGCGCGATAACTTCATTTGAGCACGGGAAGTTTTCTTGAGAGCAGATTTGCAAGTTTCTGTCTTTGATGGAGCTATGATGAAGAAAGAGGACCTCCGTAAATGAACGATCGCGCAAAAATTAAGTCTTTAAGTTTCAATTCATGATGAGTATATAAAATTGAAAAAAAAACTGATTCCCTCACCGCTATGGCGGATTATCAGTATTCTAAAATCCCATTCACCGCACTTCATAAGAGAAAAGAGTGTTATGAAATTTCAGCGGGTTGAATTGAAGCCGCCGACTGGTAGTCCGTGGAGAGTCCAAATGACTGGTCATCAGTATGAAGCTCTTCATTCGTTATAATTACGTGAGAAAGCTTTGCAAGAGTTAAATGGATCATCGAGAATTACAATAAGTAGAGGAAAAGGGAACATTTCCATGGCAAGATTTTCTGACAAGCGAGTCTAATTGTTTAATTCTGAGTGGAAATATCTGAACTGAGAACAACAGGCGAAAAGGGGCCTGAAGATGAGAGAATATAAGAATCAAAGTCTGTGGCGTTCACAGTTCTTAGTGGCGTGGTAATCATTCGTGGAGAGCCTTTAGAACGATAAAATGTTCCTGTTTACTGTAAATAGTCATTTTCTAAGACACACCAGTCAGCACCTGGTTGATTCACTCGGTGTGTCTATTCGAACGAATGATCACATGATCGTGTGTGACTGGGCTGACTGTTCAGAGTCACAATCCTCTTCCCTGATGGCAAAGAATTGCTACAATCCTTCAGTGCTCTAAACTGTGAAACGCTTCCATGGCTTGCTATTTATCATCAGGAAAGATAGTGTTTTTTTTCTTGCTATCATTAATTTTGGTAGAAATTGCACTGAAATGTATTTTAGGATGATCCACGTATCCCAAGTTTATAATTATGGCCTTCTGTTGATAGTTTCTTCATCGGTTTCGCAGAAAGGTCTTAGTCAATAAATAGTTCTCCTATGTCAAGAGAAAATAGTAGGACAGAGAGGGAGTTGGCTTTTATAGATTGTGCAAGTAAAATATGCTGATTATGCTAGTAGCAGAGCTCGTTTATTTCCTGATAGCATCCGATTATTCTTGTTAGCTGTATGTATGGTTTTTTAAGCCTGCTTATTTTTCGCATTGGCCCGAACTGCTTTGAGGGGTAGCTTTAAATTAACATACAGGGTTGTTTGGAGGGCACACTCCCATACAGTTCTAGTTTATCTTCTGTTCTTGTACTACGGCTTCACACTTGGCTGTAAGTAGTTTGAAAGTGCATAATCTTGCTGCTAATTAAGAGATTATACTGAAATCACTCTCTTTTCAATAGTGCTGAAGCACTCTCTTGAGATAGCTGCAAGTTGTCGCTCGAGTCGGCTGACATTGCTGACGCAATTTTGTTGCCTTGCTAATGCAAGATGTTGAGACAGACAAGGCCCAAGGATATCTCAATTTCACCTAGGTTAATTAATGAGAGTCTCTCTAACGGAAGTATGTTTACCAAAAAGTCCGCATAAAAGCAAACATCTGACTTATTTCTGGGGCTACGAGTACTATTAACTTTCTTTGCGTGGCTGTAAGTTCACCATTTAAAACATGCAGCTCAGCCATTTTTTTTACTAAGCTAAGAGGAACGCGAAACGCAGCCACTATTACAGCCTTTTTTGGCCTCCTAGAACAATTTTTTTTGTCGAAACCGGACCTCTCTATGGGTGTGTTGATACATAAGACAAACCATGGAAAAACAGGGTAAGAAATCAACGACGGTTACATAAACAAAGCATAAGATGGTCTCGTGCCTAAACCTTCTACGGCCAAGCGATGGTAAGTTCCCTACATTTCAGTTACACGGAAGGATCTGGGTACAAGATTAAGCATACGATGTCCGTTTCGCATACTGACTTTCTCTTACGAAAATTAAAAACCTCCATACCTTTATCGAGAGCCTTGTTCGCCTGTGAGTTGGAATGAAATACTAGCAAACAGCGAGGAGATTGGCTTTTTCGATTAAAATAACTTAGGAAAGAAGAAACCACGAAGCAGAAGTCTAAAGAAACAGATTTCCCTTTCCGCTCGAAGCTAAAGAGAATTTGAATGAAATGGGCATATCCCGGCCGACGCCCTGATTGACCCTCTCTATCCCCTTACCTTCTCGTCTCTATGCACAACATCTGTATTAAATGAAAATCATCAAAGTTTGATTTTGAACATGTAAAGAAGAAATTCCTTTATTGCGCGTTCACTTAGCCTGAGATAGACTAAAGGGGTTTAGGAAATTCGAGACGAATTATCAACTGCTTCTCGAGTTTGGATAACTTTTAAGAAATTCTTCCTGCGACCTAGGAGTGAAAAGATGATGCGATGGAGAAAATCTCCTCCTATGGGTTTGAAAGATCATTCAAAACTACGTGCAAATCTAACGTCATAGTCTTTTTACCAACTCACATCTAAATACAACTTTCGACTGATGAGAGCGCTCGCAATATTCTCAATTTTTTGATAATAAAAACATTCGAATAAAATATCTTCGTAAACCGAAGAATAAGAATAAATGGGTGACCTCATATTACCGCATGGTACTCCTCGTTTTCCTCCTTCTGTCCTGTTTTTTCAATGAGCAACTTCTGGTAACCTAAAAAGTTTGTTGACTGTTGTAGCCAGAACACAAATAGAGAGAGCCAGATGACGCTTTGTAAAAAAATCTTCAAGTGTTAATTATACTGAAAGATCTCCAGAAATTAGCTTGAAAACTGATCGATTTGTCACTCATCAAGCCATTTGATTCCCGCCTTTCGCTAGGAAAAAATGAATAAAGCTTCTTTGAAAAAGTTTTCTTTAAAAATCCCTTAAGATGTTCCAAGTATCACTAACTTCTTAAACTTGAATGAAGCTTTCGGACAAACCCAGGGGGAGGTTTTTCTTATTGTCAATACTTTCCCTTTTTTCTGAGGCCTTTTAGCTCCTAGAATAGTCTGCCTGTCTGTCTGTTGTAGACAGATACTGCCATGATCAAGAATAAAGTACAATTTATATGTGCCGCAAAATGTTGCTTAATGTACAAAATATACATAGAGCATGGTTAAAACTTCACTTTTCTCCTTGATTGTTCAGTTTATCAAAAGTCAGTTTCATTCTTGACTTCTGAGTAAGATCAAGTTCATAGATTTTATTAAGTTTGACCATGAACACTTCTTATTTACACTCTCAGATACCTTTACCATTGTATCGTAACGAATACTGTTTTGCTTGATCAAAGTTTGAAAAGCTCTTTGAAGATAACTTTGTGTGAGAGAATAACTGATGAGTTTTTTAGTCCGTGCGGGAAAAGGATTACATATCAACGTCATGTAATCAGTATTAAATGGCGAAAAAACGATGAAACAAAACACCTAAACATATCAACTACCTTTTTCACCTTTTTGAAAAACGGCTCTGTGCATCAACTCCTCCATATCTATTGGACCCTATTCCAAGAGCCATTCTGTTTTCACCCAAAACTATTTTGTTCGCCTCTCCTTCCCCGATCCTCTTTAATCAGTGTTACCCAGCTAACAATGAGGTCGTCATTATATAATTAAATCCCTTATTTTAAAAACACCGGAAAAAGGAACTTGGTCAGGACGTGACCAAAAATCATCTCACAAGAGAGGATAAAATGCACTTTAACTTGCCTTGGTTTTAACAAATTTCGAGTGTCGTGATGTTAATTTGCAATTGGTTCCATCAAGTTTTATTCGAGAATGAGGATCGATAATATGGTTTCTGTGTTAAAAACTGTTGTCAAGTTTAATTTGCAAGATGGTGAACATTTGTCACCATAAATACCCTTTTCTTTCGTCAGTTAACAAAGAGTATCAAATATCGAATAACAAGACACACACACACACAAAGAGCTTTCCACCTAATAAGATGATAAAGCTATAATGAATGGCGATAACTCGAGTAAACGAGTTTTTGAAAAGCCGTACAAACTTTGTATGTTTCCGAAGACGCGCACCGTAAAATACTTTAAAAATAATTTTTTTCCTTGAACTTGTTAAATAAAGACCTAGAGCTGCTGACAGTTACAGTAGTCTACGGTAGTTTCTAGTTTTGTATGTGGAATTATTGTATGGTCACGCAAGTTTTTCATTTCCTTATCAGTTCAGTAGCATGGCGGAAAATTTGATCAAGGGAATATCGTGGCAAATGAGTTGTGGTCCTTATTAGTAATTTTTGTAACTTTGACAACTTCATTGATCTCAAAACTGGAGATATCTGATGGTTTAGACAAAGAAAGGAAGAATGATCTATTTGCGAGCTGCGATGACATCGAAGGGGACCGAAGTTGGAGAACTTGAATTTCATAAAAATAGCTCGCTCTTCTCAAACAACGGCAGCAAATGAAATTTTTAAAAATGTTAACAAATCTCTCAAAATTAATCATGATTGAGCCAAAAATAAAGGGGTTAACAAGAGAATTTGTGTAAGTGAGTATGTTACTAAACGTTGCCACTTTGTTAAATAAGCCGTAAGGATTCTCGGAGCCGTTGCCAAAATCGTGCCATAGCCAAGTAACATGTGTTGGTAACATGCAGATTGCAAACACAAGAACAGATATCACGAATGCTTTTACAACTGTGTAGTTTCTCTCCAATCTGTCATCGATGGATTCCTGTGAGAATGTTCTCGTTCCTCTTTGTCGTTTTATCTTTAAGGACCTCGTATCTTTTTGAAGCACGCAAACCGTGCAAGTGTAGAGTAAAGCCATGATACTCAAAGGTATTAAGTAAAGAAGGATGAAAATGATGACAGTGAACATCTTGACAATATAAGCGTTTGGCCATTCTTCACTGCATGAAGATCCTTTCAACTTCAGAACAAGCGATAGAGGTAGCACCATAAGGCCGGATAAAAGCCATATAGCAGCTATGACAGTTAAACCAGTTTTAACTCGTATTCTTGGCTTCAGTGGTGTGACTATCAGTCTGAAACGCTCCACACACATAAATAACAGGGTCATGACGGAGACATAAACAAGTACGGATTGAAATGGATAAATGATGTGGCAAAGAACGGCTCCGTAAGGAAACTCGCTAGTCAACTGCTCTCCAATATCAAGAGGAATGCTTATTAGGCACGTCCCCGCGTCGGTGGTCGCCAAGTTCAGTATTAGATACTCATGGAGCTTTCTTGTCTTCAGTTTTAATATTTCTCTTAAAACAAGAAGATTTGCGGCGGATCCTAGAAGGGCAATCAAAATCAGGAGAGAAACTGCTACAGGTACCGTCTTTTCTTGTTGCTTTTCATTTGTCTGATGCACGTTTACAGTTGTGTTGTTGGAAGGAAGATTTACGTTATCCATTCCAAGAGGAGGCTCTGGCCCAAATAGAAATGTTTAAAATGTACAGTTCAATGAAGTTTCAAATCAAACACGACACAAACACAAGATATTCCATCAAGACAGCCAGTACTTTCACTATATATGTACGGTAAGGTTCGGGGGCGTTTCACAAAAAGCTTTAAGTGTCACTTAATATTGTCGATATAACCTTGCTGATTATCTCTCACGGTTTCATTTCGCAGCTTTCGTATGCACCTTGCCGGAAGGTGATATGATACTGGTTCCACTCAAGTAGATCCAATTTAAAAGATAGAATATAGAGTGACTGTGAATATAAGAAAATCATATATGTGAACTGCGGATAAAGACGTGATTATGAAAGCGATCTTCGCAGTAATGAACACTACTTGAGCAGCTGTGAAAATAAAGCCTGGAAAAAATTCAGGCCTGTATGGGATAGAGTGCTATACACACAAAATATTATGACATTGCGTCTTCAGTTCTTATGCTAAATCAACGGTACCTGAGAAAAACTCAAAGACGACCTTGAGTATGAGGGTGTTCCCAATCAATTACTGCCTAGAACTTTCCTCTCGCTTACAAGTTGAGCCTGTTTTCTAGGAGAGCAATTTTTTTAAGAGGCGTGCTTTTTGTCTCTCATAATTTTTATTAATATCTTTCGGAGACGAGCAGGTTGATCGCTTGAATGCTACGTTTTATCAGTTTTGATTGACAAACGTGGTTAAACAGGAAGGCTGCGGTGCAAATTACAGTTTCCCGAATTATCGATGTCAAACGCCGCGCCTTGAGGTCACGTCTCGTCCTGTGGCCTCGACCAACGTCGGTTTTAAAAGCCATTTGTAATATCTATGAATACGAACTCAGGAAGATATGTACTGGGAACTTCTTTCGCCTCTCTGATAGCTATGATCTTAAAGATACTTTTCGTACCATTCTGCTGGTCACATGATAGCTTGTTGATGAACACGAAGTGCCTCTTTATACTTAAGTTTTGTGACAACTTATCTTCATGATTTTTGTAATCTATCACTGAAAAAGGCGTGTGTCGTAAACTTTTGCCCGTGCGAAAATTAAGTAAATAGCAGATATTTTAAGAGCTTTTATTATCGTTCAAAATCTATTCACTTCATGTGTTTTCATTGATATTCGAAAGCAAGCTAAGGCATCTTTTACACATTTCTGTATTGAGGAAATCGCAAAAATAAGGTGTCGCAAAAATGAAGTGTAATAGGGCTGGTCAGTATCCGGCGATATTGATCTTATCAGAGCTGCTCCAATAACAGAGGAAATTACATGTTATATCGTACAAAACTTGACATTTACGTGTGTGTCTTAATTACAGGTTTAAGGGAAGTTGTCGCCCTAAACGTTGCGAGTTTGACTTGTTAGCTAATGACGTGGGTTCTTGCCAAATCAATGGCAAGGTAAACGCAAAAAATCCGACCGATTGGTTTCGGGAAAAAAAATTAAATCGATAGCCACAATGGTAGTAACACCTGTAGAACAAAGATTTTATTAGCTGTAACCTTCGAGTTTTTCACGACCTTAAAAACAAACAGCGTTAATTGTACGTAACGACTAAAGCGTTACCTTTTCCATTTTTTGGAGTTGAAAATGAGGTTTTCTTTATTCTCATCATCTTTGACAGCTTTTACTTCAATAATCAAGTCATGATCGAGCTGATATGAAATTTAATTAGAGATACTTTGCGTTGTTATTATATTTTCTACATGTCTTAGTTTACGGTGACAATGTTCTAGATGAAAATTTCATCATATCTGACTCATGTTGATAAACAAAACTTATTTAGTTTGAAAGAAAATGCTGTGGATCGGATGGTCTTCCCATTATTTCTTTATATATCACTTTTTTCTGCTATAATAATAAAGTAGGAAATATTCCAAAAATCTACACCGAGTTTGGAATGGCCTTTTGCCTGGGTAAACAGAGCTATCATATAACCAAGACTTGTTCCTATAGAGAAAAAGGGACATGACTGTTTCATATGGGCAGGTGTAATAGTGACATGCATTTATCCGGCGGAATAGCTGTCCTGTAACTCAGAGATCCAAGTTCAGTTTGAGGCGGGCTCAGGCCTGAGACAGCTTGACTGTGTTGCATTCTGTTTATCGCGACTGTTTAGAGGTCCTGTTGGTTAAAAATTGAAGCTAACACGTGTTCATTAATTCAATTCCATATTCAACTGGCCGTTACTTGGTTTTCCGTTTCACGCGTTTACTATCAAGAAGATGAAATGAAAGAAAAAAGTCACTGATCAAAAAATAGCATGCAGCCATGAATGATCGTTCTAATATTTATGTCTCTCCTTAGCAAAGTGCCAAATTTTCAGTCTTTTATAAGATTCATCTCAACGTAGAAGTTTGTTTTTTCTTGATCCTGAACAATTTCATTATTTAAAATAAAACAGAAATTGCATTTAGAAAGTCAATGCACAAGCTCGAGACCTTCTCCTCTAAGAGATAGTTACTCTCGCTCGAAGGATTGAATTGTCCTCGATCATTTCTAACGACTGGCCAGGAGCAACTTGGTTCAAACCTCTTCCTCTTTTAAGAGGCATACTGTCTAAAACAGCTTCTCTGAAGGCTGGAATTTGCCAAGAATAAAGAAAAGGATTGAGGCTTGAGTTTAGCCAGATGAAAACATACTGAAGATCTCGTAGCCAATGAATCGTAATGCAGCTGCAACTGTGGCATAAGTTCAAAGTGTAGATAATCGCGCACGAAGGGGTATAACAGATGAGGTATGCAGCGAGTATGAGCACGAATGTCTTCGCTATGCGCTTTTCCTGTTCAAGAGCCCTTTTATTGGCGCTTTCAAAGTTCATGCCGGAATGAAGATGCGACGACATCTGAAACTGTGTACGAAGTTTGTGATACACGGAGATGTACGAGAAGAAAAATATAATTACGGTCGCAAAGATTGCCATATTGGCGAAAACAAAGGCATATTTAATGAATCCTATTTCGAAATACAGCACTGACGGCAGGGAAATGGATACAATCCAAACGCAAACCGATACAGCGAGCGCATGGCTTGGGCGTATTTTGTTCCTGTAGATAACTGGACGCGCCACAGCGATGTAACGATCGACAGCCATTGCTGTGAGACTGAGAGTTGATGCCGAGCAGCAGATGAAATACGATACGTGAGCCACTGCAAGAACTGGTAAGTCAGGATGATTTGTTAATGCCTCCAGCAGGTGAACATTGGTAGATATCGTCAGCGCGATAAGGCCAACAACAAGGTCGGCAAATGCCAAATTGACTACCAAGCAGTTAAACGCATTTCGCAGCAGTTTTCGTCGCTGCTTGTACACCGCCCAGCAGATGAGAAAGTTTGTGGGCACTATAAAGAAAAACAGGACGAAGGAAATGACCGTCGTAAGGAACGAAAGTGATATTGGAGGAGGCACATCGGAACAGTCTTTCTCGTAAAGGGACATGGCAATCAAATGAGCAGCGTTGTAGACGAGATATTTGTCGAATGAATATATACTACATCTAACTGTCGTCGCGGTTCAGGGCGGGCCGATGTGACTGTCGTCGCGGTTCTAGGCGGGCCGTAGAATTCAACGAAATATCATAACACCTAAGATAAATATCACACGACTATGAAAAAAATATAGACGAGCCAGAACAGGTGCTCTTGAGTAAACCCACAGGTATATTGTTGAAGATTGCAGAACAAAAATGAAAAATTAGCTCTTGATAAAAAAAACTTCAGAATTCAATTTAGAAGATGTGGAAAGTTTCATTTCTGCTTTGAAAAATAAAGAGGTAATCGAGAGTTATTGCAATCACTTCTCCTTGTGTCAATATCAAATAAATGTGTGATATTTTTTTTTGAAGTCGTAAAATATCATCATGGCTACTGAGGTAGTGCTACAGGTCGCGAATACGGACCTGAAACCAGTGGGGAACAAGTTTTATATAATTTTCATATCAGTTATGAATTGCCCGTGGACTCTTTCTTCGGCTTCATAGCGCAAAGCAGATCTAAATACCAAACTGATCCTAAGGTAGAACATTGACAGACTCTTGACAACAGATGTCAAACATTACTGACACCTTGCTAAGAACTTTTGAAATCACTGTGTAAACGACAAATTCAAACGGATCAACTTGATGGCAAAGCCGGTGACTGTAGAACAAAACTGGTCCATCAATATCGACTTACAAAGCAAAAGATTCCAGTGAAACTCCACTGTTCACTTAAGAAAAATAATAACCTACGCTTAGATTCAGGAAACGTCCAACGATGTCATTGTCCATAGTATAGTAAAATTATTGATTATAGTGATATTAGTCGTAAGAACTTTGTTTGGCGCTTTTTCAATGATCCTTGTTCTGCAGTAGTGTTTCCATATAGCTGGCACCATGCATATGTATGTAATTTCTATTCCACGGGTCTATTTTCCCGATGAAAATACACTGCCCTCTACGACTCCTCGGCACTGATTTGCATTTGCAACATCAAAACGAAAGTGGAAACGAAATTTTAAATGCAAAGTTGCCTACTATAAAGAAATACTACTGAAGAATCGCCCGGGACAGCTGAGAAACTGCTCAGCAAAACAGTGAGATTCAAAAAGCACCAATCAAAGCCGCGAGAAAACAACCAATCACAGCGGCGCATCAAACATCGTAAGGTGACGTAAAGCCAGTCTTCATTGCCTGAAATAGAGTTGCACTATGCCGTCAAGTCTCGATCAACATCAGATTTGACTTCTTCGAGACAGACGATAAAATTAATCTTTATCACAAGACATTTTATAATATATTTTTATTTTCCCCGACTAATGATTTTTTATTTCGACCTTTCTTTTGCATTCGTAGCTCACAGGTGTTTCATGTTAAAAAAATAAAAAGTAAAAAAAAAAACCCAAACCACGGGCTAGACTGATGCTGGCTGAAGAAAGAAAAGCTTCTCCTAAATTTTGAACCCGCGAAACCAAATTTTCTGATTTTCTCAGCCAGAGACTAAAAAATATTATCGCAATCGGTAGGGTGGCTTTGATATGGATCCCCGCACTAAAGAAAGTTTAAAATTTGATTTGATCTCGTGGTGAGAATTTTAAAGCAATTTGAATTGAATGAGTTTGAAGAGTGAAGAAGAGTTTGAAGAAGAGTTTGAAGAGTAAAGCAAGAATTATTTATCGCAAATGTACCTTCACTTCACGTATTCTCTTTCGCAGCGTGAAAACGCGCCATTAGTTGTTTCTCTAAGTAATAACTTCTTATGTTTTTATGTTTGAAAGAATCAGCCCGAAAAGTTGTTCGCTATTAATGACCCTCATATTCAGCTTTTCGTGTCTGAGTGAAACATTTCATTGATTTTTTCAAAAACGTTCTTCTCATCAAATTTGATTGCATTTTCGATATCTGACCCTCTTAGTAATTATTTGGTTTGTGTATTGATCCTTTCGCAGTTTCTTAATTATTTATGGCAAAAATTGTGCCTATAGGCTTTGGCCAGCACAATAAAGATATGTGCGAGATACGATATGAAAGTTAAATAATCATTAACTGTTAGTTCATTAGACACATATTGCAACTATCTTCCATAACGTCACATAGCAAAAATAAAAATTATTAATGGCTCTAAACAGTACAAATTCTGCATTACTAATAAAATACATGCATCTCTTCTTAACAGCTGTCTCGCTTTAAGTACCCTAACAATACAATCGACAGGATATATGTTCTGTTGGTTGCAAGGCTTGAGTCATTGTCTTGCGAAACTTTCCTCCAAGTCGACGAGATTTGTTCCAGCTTGTTCGAAGCTCGCGAAAACAGTAGCGCTGAATATTACTGAAAAAGCTCAAAGCAAAGGCGGTCATGGCACTTTTCGAGAAAGACTGTTCCGATGTACCTCCTCCAACATCACTATCGTTTTTGACGACGGTTATTTCAATTTTCTTGTTTTTCTTTACAGTGCCGCCGAACTTTCTGATCTGCTGGGCAGTTTGTAAAGAGAGACGAAAACTGCTACGAAATGCGTTCAACTGCTTGGTTTTCAATTTGGCATTTGCTGACCTCATTGTCGGACTCATCGTGCTGACAATTTCTGCGTATGTTCACCTGCTCGAGGCATTGACAACTCATCCCAATTTACCCGTTCTTCCCGTAGTTCACGTGGCGTATTTCGTCTGCTGCACGGCGTCAACTCTTTGCCTCATAGCAATGGCTGTCGATCGTTACATTGCCGTTGCGCATCCAGTCGTTCACAGAAACAAAATAACCCCGAAACGAGCTGTGCTTGTTTCGACCTGCATTTGGCTTTTCTCCATTTTGTTACCTGTGTCGGTGTATTTTGAAGTTGGTTTCATCAAATACGCTTTTGTTTTCGCCAACACAATCATCGCTGCCACCGTGGTAATCCTGTTCTTTTCTTACGTCACAATTTACCGCAGACTTCGCGCACATTTTCAGATGTCGTCGCAGCTTCAATCTGGAATGAATTCTGACACCGCAAACAGAAAGGCTCTCGAGCATGAAAGGCGCATAGCGAAGACATTCGTGCTGATACTCGTTGCTTTCTTCATCTGTTACACCCCTTCTTGTGTAATTATTTACATTTTAAACTTCTGCCGAAGTTGTAGCTGCGTTACAATTCACTGGTTTCGAGACCTTCAGTACATTTCCATCTGGGTTAACTCAAGTCTCAATCCTTTTCTTTATTCCTGGCGAATTCCAAGCTTGAAAGAAGCTATTTTAGCCAGAATTCCTTTTAAAAGGGGAAGAATAGGAAATCAGGCGGCTAACGGGAAGGAACTGAGTAGGGTCAACGAACGAAATAATAGCGCCACGCCGGAAATTTACCAGCAACATTGATAAAGTTATAAAGAAAGGATTGACAAAAGACATAATAATCTTTGTGATGATTTGAGCCCCAGAGAATCCCAGTTGATTGATTGTGTATTCTTCCACCAGAACTACGTAAGAGGTGACGAAGCGGAAACCTAAAATCACGAAATGCCGAGTTCCCTGATTGAATATCCAAGGGCAAGACAACACTAACAATTCTAGCCTTGTATTCCTTATGTTACTATTAATTTATGCCGATTATTGAAGGATACTTTTAGAAACAGGAAATATTGCGGAACTCTCTTTTAAGTTCACTTTTGCATAATAGCAGATTCTACAAAGCAATATTATCAAAAGAAAATTATCTTACACAAGCTTTCGATTCTCACATCGATAAGTCTAAGCTACTCTTAATCAGGTACCTACAGCCTACTCGATAAGTCTAAGCTACTCTTAATCAAGCTTAACTTTCAGCTATAAAAACGAATCCCAGACTTTGACACTCTCGAGATCCTTCGCAAAGGTTTTGCGAGTTGATTCAATCCACCATTCGAGAGCTCGTTGGCAATAAAGGTTATTTCAAGAGCTAGGTATTCATGACATGCACGTGAAAACTTTCCTGGATTTTGCTTGAATCGAATGCATCGTCTTTCGCTGAATAGAAACGACATGATAAAATTTGGGCTCGGCCGAGGAAATTCATCATCGGGATTGAGAGTCCGAAAAAGCATTTTAATGAAATATAAAAAGTAATTAACAAAAAAGTGTCCAAATGGCTTGAAACCACTTCACGAAAAAACTTCAGTTCCCGTTATGATGTTTGCTAGATATGCAGTTTGCGCAATACTGAATTTGATTTTGTTGTTGTTCGTATCGATTGCAGGGATCGGTTTGTGAAATGAAACAGGTAAATTGCCGTTTTTTTATTCGAGTAAGTGTTCACCGTGTTTAATACATTTCGAAAATTTTACGATTGTTTGACAAGACATCATGATTAACGTCTCAAAGATAAAGGCCTCGACGTCGATTATCTCTCAGTGACACTTGAAGCATTTACAAGAGGTTATTTAACGTTCGCTTTTTTCTCAAAATATCAAACGAAATAAAGAAAAACGAATACAAAAAAGTGTTTCTCAATAGGGACGCAACGTCTGAGGTCGCTGGCTAAATGAGCTACAATGAAACATTCTCATCAGAACTGAAAGAGTTGTTGTCCACGAAATGAGGTTTAGCAGCTGGAACGTATTGTTTACCCTCTCATGCTGTGCAAATGTAGTGGAGCTAACTTATGTATATAACCAACTCAAAAACAAACAAATAAAAGGAGATTTTAAAATTAAACTTCAGAAAATGTAGTCCCCAGTGGTTGTATTTTGGTTTATGTTTAGCGAACGAGGCTTTGCACTTCACTTTCAGGCTAAACACTTCAATCGAGGGCAGACAAACGTTTTTCAACCGAGCAATTAAGCATAGTGGAACTTGAAACAGGAAGGAATGAAAAAAAAAAAACACAGATAAGGTTTAACGAATGATTCGATGCATTTTGAACACAGTTCAATGAAACAAATTTCATTTCTTTTCATTTTAGTTTGTCTCAATTGAAGACAGAAAGAAAACAATCTGATAATCTGGACCC